ATGACCGGTAGTCATGGCCGTCTGGCCTATTGGGCCCTCACACAGGTGACACACTCTATTGCATATGCCCGGGATTATGTGATGACAAAGCATTTCTAAAGTAAATCAGTCCTATACATAATTTTGGTTGGTCAAGATCTGATTTCGTAATGATCCGGACGTTCAAAAGGTAGGCACAATTTCTTTACTGATTCTTAAATCTCTCACGATGGTATCTTGATTTGCTGAGGTAGCTTGATATTTTCTTACTGAGTTAGTGGTAAGACCATTATAATGACGCAGGCTGCTGTTTAAACGTTGTTATAAATTCCCTTTTGCATTAGATGTGCAATGTGCAATGTTAAAGAACTTTTCTATCAAGAATTATAAAAAAAAAATAATAATTAAACTGTATCATTGTACACTGTATGTGCGTATTAATTTAATAATTCTGAATTTCTATATACGAAATATAAGCCAATTATGTTCTAATGGGTACACTACATAAGGGAAACGCCACTGACTACGTACATGTTAGAGAGAAAAGAAAACATTGACTGAATTCTGGTTTCTTTATTGCTTACGAATTACTAGTGTATAACACCGTAACATATCCAAGGTTTCTGAAGGGGCCTTTAAGCCACCTCTTACGTTACACGTGCATTGGGATACTGGTATTCTCAGCATACAATGATTGGTTTCTTTACATCACCTTTAGAGAAGACAGAGAATAAACCATTACTGACTGCAGGGAGGCCGAAAAATTAAACATGTATGGATAAATATAACTTATTTAAATCTGGTTCATTGGTTTTAGGACATTGTGACGATACAATTTCGTTATTTTATCTACAATCTTAAAATTTATAAATATAAATAATAAACTTAATTATATTGCTATTGTATATTGTATATGATTATGCTAATATAACATTTTCTTATCTTGAATTAATTCGAATAAACTAAAAATACTGAATAATTGCAACGGTACACTACTGTCCAGTATAAACAGATAAAGAGTTTCGTCTTCTGGAAGCGTATCCATATATATATATATATATATATATAGAATAAAAACAAATTTTTCAGATCGTCCGCTAGGCCTTTCTGCCTTCTATATATATATATATATAGTTGGTGTCTTCCCCTTCGTTGCTTTTTAACGAGTAATTTTGATATACAATATCTTAAAACGTTGATTCGTATTTATAAGCAACTGTTTCAATTCAATGTATTTAGTGATTGATTAAACAAACAGTGTCATATTAGACTAGCTGTTGGTCCTGGCATACTCAACATAAAATGTAAAGTATGTACAATTCGAGTTACTTCCCATTGGAAACCTCTGAAGTGTATTTATACTTGTATGTGTAAGATTTGTCAATGTTGTGTCAGCGGAATAGCTTTAGACTTCTAGCTTTGTACACTAGAGGCAGACTAACACTGACACCTAGTTGAGTACAATTGAGTGAGACTAACACTGATGTCTAGTTAGGTACCCTGGAGTGAGACTAAACCCGACGTCTAGTTAACTTCACCAGAAGGGACTAACACAACGTCCTCTTAAGTACACTAGAGGGGACTAACACTGACGTCTAGTTAGGTACATTAGAGTGAGACTAAACCCGACGTCTAGTTAACTACACCAGAAGGGACTAACACAACGTCCTCTTAAGTACACTAGAGTGGACTAACACTTACGTCTAGTTAGGTACACTAGAGTGAGACTAAACCCTGACGTCTAGTTAACTACACCAGAAGGGACTAACACAAGGTCCTCTTAAGTACACTAGAGGGGACTAACACTGATATCCTGTTAAGTACACTAGAGGGGACTAACACTGACGTCTAGTTAAGTACACTAGAGGGGACTAACACTGACGTCTTCTTTAGTACAATAGAGTGAGAATTACACTGACGTCTACTTAAGTACACTAGAGGGGACTAACCCTGACGTCCTGTTAAGTACACTAGAGGGGACTAACACAGACGTCCTGTTAAGTACACTAGAGGGGACTAACACTGACGTCTAGTTAAGTACACTAGAGGGACTAACACAAACGTCTAGTTAAGTACACTAGAGGGGACTAACACAGACGTCCTGTTAAGTACACTAGAGGGGACTAACACTGACGTCTAGTTAAGTACACTAGAGGGGACTAACCCAACGTCTAGTTAACTACACCAGAAGGGACTAACACAGACGTCATGTTAAGTACACTAGAGGGGACTAACACTGACGTCTAGTTAAGTACACTAGAGGGGACTGACACTGATGTCTAGTTTAGTACACTAGAGTGAGACTAACCCTGACGTCTAGTTTAGTACACTAGGGGGAGTCACATAAATTACACTGGAGGAAAAAAACTAGGTACGAAAGTGGCATGCCTTTACGTTTGTCTAGTTTATGTGGACCAAACAAACAATACTAACGAGTTCTGATGAGCTGGCCCATATTAAAGGGATTACAATTGAGGTATCCTCAAACGTGTCACATGTTCATTTCAATCATTTCCACCCCCTCTGCACTTAAAGTAAGTACGTTTTAATAACCGATCGGAAGCTTGTTTGAAGAACGTTGAGTTTATCTGCAGATTTAAAATGTATTTCAATGACGAAGTTTTGAATACTGGGTGTCAAATTAAAAATGTTATTTCATTGATTAGGCTATTCGACTGGGCTTTATTTGCTCTGTGCTTATGTATGTTTATTCAGAGGCAGACAAGTCCATAATCAATGTGAGGACATTTTGAAAATATAGATTTAAAACTGATGACATTATGTAGAGTAAACAGACCAAAACAAACATTAAACAAAGCTTGAAATGTGTATGGGTGGGACAATGCTTACCCAGTATTGTTATATGGAAAATAGAAATATCTCACTTCCAACGGTAAGTAGCATCAAAAGTAGAATGTAAAGGTGTTTTATTTTGTGAAAATAAAATTACTCTATGATCAAAACCGTAAACATGTAACATTGGTACTTGGGTGTTATTCATAGAACCAAACAGCTGAAAAGGAGTTGGCATGTGTTAAACTATACTCCGTTATTGTTAATAGGCTTCCTTGGTTTACTGCCTTAAAGCCTATTTATTCATTGACTTAATTTATTCATTCATTTAATATTTATGTGTTCATTACGTCAATCTTTTGTGAGACTACATTATCAACCTTAAAATGTGTTTATCTGTTGCGACTATGATTGAATTATACCGTTGTTCAATAAATATAATCCAATTTGAATATTTAAATGAGTTCCATCTTGTTCAGATGCTACCAGGCTCTGTTGTTACGCTGTGATAGCGTCATATTAACCACATATACAATAACGCTGTGATGTAACCCCCAGTATTTCTAAAGCGTACACTGTGTGAATTAGAATTGTTAGATTTATCATAGCAACCGTCTCTATATCTTTCATTTCTAGCGTTGGCCTTCAGACATATCATTATAAATTTATGTTAATATAGTTCCTACAAAGGGGTCACCAGGTATGGCATATGTTTTATTCACTGTTGGAAGCTTCTGTCCTTACCCACCTGCTGAGTGATTGACAGGTACAGCAGCTAATACAGGTGTGAAATAGAAGATAACAGAGCTATGACATGGACATTTTTGGGTAGTTGTTCACTACTTGATATTTCTAGCCAATAACTTAATTAACAAGCAGATCATCTCTATCAGCTACCTATACCGACAGGTAAGCCTGGGCACCACATTTCGTATTATTACCAAACGACGCCTTACATCATACAGGCACGAACCCAGTATTAACAGATGGTTACAGTTTATACAGAATGTAAAGTAGCATCACATAAATCGTGCTTAAGTTAACATGATAGGCACATTTATGTGACCATGAATGACACATTTTGGTACACATGTTCCGGAGTACAAAACTGCATTAAAACAAGTTTGGGTAATCTTTGAATTAACCTGCATACAAAATTATGCTCAAAAATGTATCTAAAAACCTGAGAGCGCTATACATGTGGATAAAAATATATTTGCAATAAATCCTATATGCATAAATTGTCATGCAAATGTTTTATTTCTTTTGTTTTATACACGACATGATTGTGTGTTACACTGTCAATTAGTCACCACTTTAAATACGATGTAAGAAATAAGAAAAACAGTCTATTTTGGAGAAGAACATTCTCGACATTCCAGGAGCTCATCCTCGCTCTCTGCACCCCTGGAATATGTCATAGAAAAATTGAAGGAACAAGGCTAGCTATTTGTTGACATGTCCTGACCAATCGCTAGGCTGATACCTGTCCTGTGACGATTACAGAGGAGTAACAACCAACTTCAAAGCTAGTCAATTTTACCGTTACGCTGCCGTAAGATTCTTTGGATGTGTAACAAAGGATCATACTAGTCTTCTTTTTACATCCACAAGATGGAGCACACTAATGTTGTTGTTTTTTATGACATATTCCTAGGATGTAAGAGTATCGAGGATAGGGAAGGACTGATGATGCATCAATCGTTGGATAAACACCTTCACTGAATAATGCAACGGTTAGCACCCTACAACGGTTAACACCCTACAACGGTTAGCACCCTACAACAGTTAGCACCCTACAACAGTTAACACCCTACAACGTTTGACACACTTTAGGTACCTAAACCAAAAAAAGGTTGACACTTTTAGATGTCTTTTAAATTTTAAAATGCCTGTTTTTCATACGTGTTTTAAGGAAGACTACAATATACCTTGATATCATATCTATGATGGAGTTGCTTGGATAAAAATGCTACAGTGCTATTTATAAAAATAAACATTATGGCATCGTGTTACGTAAACTGCCGATAAGCTTGCCGAAGCATGGCGACGTTTCAGCAGCGATGTCCCTAAATTATTCAAAGCTTTAATCCTTTGAATATCCCATGTACACAACTAGGTGATTAAATCTGCCTAAACATTAGCCCAAAATTCCTTCATATCAGAAAAGCAAATACGTGAAATTAGTCATGCAAAAGATATTATATATTCCTATTATTTTCTTCCAGATCCATCCCAGCATTATATGTACAATATATTGAACGCAGCTGATTCTCTTCACGCAAGGACTGAACAACTGCAGAACCAGAAACACAGTCAGGATTCTAGTGAACTTGTAGGTAAGTACAGTCTTATTGTCTATGTTAGGTCATCTCATGGACAGCGACCCTTGTTTGGTTTTATATTAACAAATAGTCTCCCAAACCAGGTTCAGATCATTTACGACAACTCATGTATCAATCCTTTCAGAACTGTTACTTTCACAACACAGTGTTTTTGAAGAATAGGCACTTTTGAATATATAAGTATAAAACAAACCCAATTGTAGTTTTCGTTGTATGGTAACAGTATTGCATTTTCCCCATAATGGTGGACGTCTTAAACCTGGCAAATTCCTATAAATATCATGATTTTCAAAATAAACATTCCAAAGTTTAATTGTCGCCATCATGAACTCATTTGGGAATATGTTATGTCTGTGTGTGATATGAAGGTAGATAAAATACATTATGCTCATACGTTTGCCTTGTAACATCCCTGGGCCACGTTACGAGGACGTGACATTATTAAGATTTCACATATTACATGGCGGATGTCGTCGATTAAGCAGAAGACGCTTACCCTTCCGGAACACCTGGTCTTATTCACCTAGAGTTCCTTCATTTATCTCAATTTTTATTTTTCCTTTGTTGATATTTTGCCATAGTTTTAGATTTAGTTTGGATTAAGGTAAAGAGTGGAAAGGCAGAGGTTTTTATAGAAGACGCGGACAGCATGCTCAACACTTTAACGATATTTTTTATTCTTGTTTTATCCATATTTCATTAATGCCACTTCTGGAATAATCTGGGACACCATACAACTGTGAAAATTATTAAATAGTAACATGAACGCTTGTAAAAGTTTTGGATAATGACTCTATTGGGTTACTTGTAGAGCTGTCGATAAAACGTTGTTTGTAGGGACTTTTGTTAATTTGTTGGAACTATTACAAACAAGGACAGTCATGACCTGATCATTAATTGGTATTGGGAAAAATTGTAATACAGAAGTGTGATTGACTAGTCTTTCGCTTTTCAAAAAAGGGGGGGAGGGGGTGAATTTTCGCATTAATTTACTCAGCGTGAAAATCGCGAGCATTTCCGATATGAAAGTATCAAGAAAACCTTATCCTATAGTACACTATGTACTTTTTCTGTAGTATTAAACCACTAGCTCTATAGTAGTTAGCAGTCGTCCTTTTGTGTAATAATACAGCTGTTATTGTTTTAAATAATACTTCTACTGTGTTTTAGATTAAAAACCTAAACACATATAACTGTATATGCAAGTAATTTGTCTTTCATCGTTTGCTTGGATAATATGATTATAGGTTTAAACAGTGTTTTAGTAATGGTGGACTGTGTATACATTGTTTAAAATGCTTTCAGTGTTTGCCTTAATCCATAACCGCCACTATGTCTTCGGCAAATGCTTATAGATATATTAACAGAGAATAAGTCACCTAATCTACTTACCCATACATCGATCTCCAGCTTTTTCCGAATGTTTAATTTTGAAATTATATTGGTGGAAGACAATGGGTAAGTCACATTCTGCAAATACTTAAATTATATTTTTGTTGCAATAACAGATTTAAATTACGGACCGTTATTTCATGTCATTCCCATGTGTTATTAACATCAGTCAATACCCTTCCACCAATGTTGTCTTCGTATACAGTTTATATTGAGAATTACACACAAATACCTGAAACCTAAGAGGATGAGTGTATTCTGTTGTAACAATGTCTGGGGGACTGGGGTAGCACGTGTTTGTGTAACAACTTGGGAAAATGAGCCGCGTAGGTAAATACTGTACTTTAAACGAGACCAACACCTGACGTATCCTATAGACAATGACATTGAAGGATATGGGAAGATAATCTCTCCCTCAAAATCCTTTAACCAACGGTATTGACAGATGGAAGTGAACCTAATTGAAAGCATTTCAAGTCGATTACACAGTGCTGAACTGTAGGCAGCTGTACAGTGTGATGAATGCGGACTGGTGATAACTGTGTGTAAATAGAGACCTTTCAACGCCTCAAACTACCTGTCAAACATTGTATTAACTCAACAAAACGGTAGTAAATGGTGGACTGTGTATTGCGTATCGGTACCCAGACGGTCTGTATTCCGTCTGATAGACCTTTCGTTACCCCGGCCTTATCAGTGTCAGCCAAGGACGGAAATGGGGTTTCTAAACGCACGAATTTTATGAAAGGGCCTAGTGCCTTGTACCTGCAGGCTTTTGACCACAATGGGAGTTTGGCCTGTTAATGTGCCGAGTAGATCGAACAGGAGATCCATTCTAAAGAGACCTCAGCTCACAAAGTTTTATCCCACTTTTAATGATGATGACATAGGTATGTATAAATACGTCATTGATTGGAAACATTTTTAGTTTATAATGTAAAGATACACTATCGAATGATACTAATACGTTTCGTATGTGTCTGTATCGTTATGTTTGCTTTAATGGTTTGCTCAATGTAAATGATAGCGTATATGTATATATAGTTTCCCATTCTAAAATCAATTAGGCTTTCAAATCAACATAAAAATACACGGCAAGTGTATCCCGTATGTGTGTTATGTTAAGTCTTCCTTCTATACAGTTGTCCGTTATATAACACCAACCTAAATTTAACACTTTATTCTGATCGATTATTCAAAATGCTACTGGAAGTTAACAATACATACATAGCATAACCTATTTCCACTGTATCAACTTAATGTTATACACCAACATAGTTCTAGCACAGGATAGCACATGTTGTTTGTTTGGAATAATGCCACTATTCAAATTATATGTGTATATTTATTATTTAATTGAGAAATAATTTGAGACTTTTAGATGCTTATATACATTGAATATATTCGTTCTGAGGCTTCCATCCCTTCCTTAGCTAAAACACTGTCTGATTTGAAGAGCATCGGTCAGTGTAAGGTTTGTGATAATAGTCTATTGTCTGTTATGTTGATACAATAGGCATCATAAAAAGGACAATATTAATGTTAATTGATTTTCAATTATCTTGTTAAATATAATCTTCAATTAAGTTAATAAGTCGGGTGCTTGAATAATCTTGTCATTGAAACAAAATAAACTCGCGAGGGAGTTGAATAAATTATTTCGAATATAAAAAACACGTGAGCAGAGTCTTTCAATTTGCTTATGCGTATATACATGTAAATGGGAAATTGTTTTATAACAATGAATCGACGCATCCGGCCAATGTCAAGCAGTGCATTCCCGACACTTGTACTGTGTTAAATGCTGTAACGTACATGTTATAATCAAACCCTCGCCAAAAACCTATTAACAGGTATGTCATAGGGTGCTTTACACTGCATCACAGCTTCAATATTTTATTTTGAGGGAAATACAATAGGTTTTAAACGGGATAACAAGGAGAGACCTTTAAATGGGAAACGAGTTAAAATATGAAATGTGCACTTGTGCTTCCCTGCCTAACAATGCTGCATTCATTATGACGTCAATACATGTAGCCTGTCTAGATAACGAGTTTATTATGTGATAATTACAGATGCTAGTTCTCGTCATTTTTTATATTCGAATTATGGCTGATTCAGTAAGTAATTAAATCGGCTAAACCATATGGAGGTCTTTTGAGAGCCACCTCTCGCAGAACCTATCATTCAATATTGAAGTACAATAAACGTTGAATAGGCATTAAAAGGACGCTGTCATTTCATTTTACCGACAGGGAACAATTGGTCTTTTTTGTTATAAACGTAGATCATATCGTATACTCATCCATGTGGCGCTCCAAACAGTGGTGTTAAATTTTGATATGGCTTTTAATTCTAGTCCGATATTTGTAAAGAAATGAGTTTAAAAGGAGCAACGGCCTTTCTCTTTCATTAATTCTCAATCATTTGATCAGACTAAATTAACATGACAATGTGAAATTGTACAGTTGGCATATGTTTAACAATTGAAGTTCTTCAAGAAAGTCAAGGAACATGTTATAGAATCATTTCTCTAAAATAGACATGATAGCTACAGTGTGTGTACTGCTTACAGATTTGATCTCGCGGTGTATTATATCTGCGTTTATTAACATATAACTGCCGTTGTAATGTATAAATATGGTGAAAAGGTCCAGTAATGAGAAACGATTAAAGTCATATTAAATTTGCAAATTCATTCCTTGCAAACAATTTTGGAAAGAACATATCAACAAAATAAACCCTGAACACTCCTACTAGATATAACTCCTCATACAGCCGTATTTCTCTATCCCAATAAAAAAAAGGACTAGAAAGCAATATACACCACGTGCAGTCAATATTACAGGGTGTATTGCTGGTATTACAACCCTTGGTATTCATACTAAATCCGATTTTTAAACACATATTGTGAATTTTATACTTCAATGCCATTATCTCTAAATTACAATCACGACCTCATAGGTAGGACATTTATAGGTAGGATTATAATTCTGACAAAGGGATTAATCTCTATTAAATGCAAATCAACTAAATAAAGCTTCAATTTTCAATTACACCACAATGGTGAAATTTGAATGCAAGCTGCGTCTTTAGTAACTAGGAATATTAGATACATAAAATCCGTCCATATTCTGAAAGTCCTCATCAATCAGTCTATACACTTATACGTCTTATAAATCAGTCTATACAATGATACGTCTTATAAATCAGTCTATACACTGATACGTCTTATAAATCAGTCTATACACTGATACTTCTTATAAATCAGTCTATACACTGATACGTCTTATAAATCAGTCTATACACTGATACGTCTTATAAATCAGTCTATACACTTATACGTCTTATAAATCAGTCTATACATTTATACGCCTTATAAATCAGTCTATACACTTATACGTCTTATAAATCAGTCTATCCACTGATACGCCTTATAAATCAGTCTATATTCTGATACGTCTTATAAACCAGTCTATACACTTATACGTCTTATTAATCAGTCCATACACTGATACGCCTTATAAATCAGTCTATCCACTGATACGTTTTATAAATCAGTCTATACGTTTATACGCCTTATAAATCAGTCTATTCACTGATACGTCTTATCAATCAGTCTATACACTTATACGACTTATAAATCAGTCTATCCACTGATACGTCTTATCAATCAGTCTATACACTGGTACGTCTTATAAATCAGACTATACACTGATACGTCGTATAAATCAGTCTATACACTAATACGTCTTATAAATCACTCTATACACTGATACGTCTTATACATCAGTCTATACACTGATTTATAAGAAGTATCAGTGTATAGACTTATTTATAAGACGTATCAGAGTATAGACTGATTTATAAGATGTATCAGTGTAAAAACTGTTTTATAAGACGTATCAGTCTATACACTGACACGTCTTATAAATCAGTATATACACTGATACGTCTTATTAATCAGTCTATACACTAATACGTCTTATAAATCAGGCCATACACTGACACGTCTTATAAATCAGTTTATACACTGATACGTCTTATGAATCAGTCTATACACTGATTTATAAGAAGTGTCAGTGTATGGACTGATTTATAAGACGAATAAGTGTATAGACTGATTTATAAAACGTATCAGTGGATAGACTGATTTATAATACGTATCAGTGTATAGACTGATACGTCTTATAAATCAGTCTATACACTGATACGTCTTATCAATCAGTCCATACACTGACACGTCTTATAAATCAGTCTATACACTGATACGTCTTATAAATCAGTTTTTACACTGATACATCTTATAAATCAGTCTATACACTGATACGTCTTATAAATCTGTCTATACACTGATACGTCTTATAAATCAGTCTGTACACTGATACGTCTTATAAATCAGTCTATACACTGATACGTCTTATAAATCAGTCCATACCCCGATAGTCCTTATCAATCAGTCTGTACCCCGATAGTCCTTATCAATCAGACCATACTCTGATAGTCCTTATCAATCAGTCTATACCCCGATAGTCCTGATCAATCAGACCATACTCTGATAGTCCTTATCAATCAGTCTATACCCCGATAGTCCTTATCAATCAGTCTATACCCCGATAGTCCTTATCAGTCAGTCTATACTCTGATAATCCATAGCAATGAGTCCATTTTGTTGTGATTGACATACGTTTTGGAACACTAAGACTTTTTCATTCTTTTTTCGTTACTACTAGTGGTGAGTCTTAGACAGGAAAGAGTGCTACACTGTATGCAGTGCAGTTAAATGGTGTATTAACTGCATCTGCAAACAGTTTTTTATTTCTTGTTATTTATAGTTTTCACGCATATTCTTTTCACCTTATAATGTGATATTTCCGACACTAATCAGTAGATACAATGTATATCTCTAGAAATCCGTTTTATCGGTTTATTATTCAGAAAAGGTCAATGTAACAGCAGTATTTAGCATTTGTATGAATTCAGCCAAATGATCAAGTGATTTATATTCACCGTCTGTTACCAACAAGTGGTTACTTAAATGAGCAGCTATAGAACACGTATTGGTAGGTGCACATGTTAAACCGATTAGTTCTCAGTACAATACCCTACATAACACTTCAAATGATTAAAAGCAAATACGAGATTTACATAAAATTACAAATCATACCTAAGCATTAAGTCAGTTAATACATTGCATTTATCGGTACTGAGGCCAACACACACCTACGTGTCTACAGTTTATACATATCTGGGCAGATTTGAACTTTTAATCCACGCCGTTCAAACTCTTTCTGACAAGCTACCCTACTAAGTAAAAGTCGTAACCAGGGCCAACCTGTCTGGGATATTACTGAAGTAGACGTTTTGGTGAAGGCAGGTAGGTTTTGTGAACAGATAATTTTAATGTAAATCAAACAAATAACCAATTTTCAGCAAACACAATATCAATTTTCCGATTCAGTTTCAATAAGTTTTGGTATATTTACATTTTTATCAACTGTGATAAAACAGCGCTTTTATTACTCCAGGTATGTTAATTGATAATGGTACGGCATATATTATATACTATTAGCAATGTGTTTGGCTATACTAGTGGTATACATGGATTTCTCAGGTTACTGTGTTACATAATTTAATTGCAGTCATCCATGAAATAATTATGAGATCATGTTAGCGTTTTCATATCAGTAACACCGGGATTGTCGAGACACTTCTATAGGGTATTCTGCTTTACATTCTTTTTATGTATTGTTTGTTTTGACTGTCAGCTATGAAATTAGATATTCCATGAAATGTATGCCAAATAACTACATTTGATTGGTCTTTGTCGCAGTTCGATGGATTGATGTTTTTGTCGGTAATACGATAGGCTATAAGCGTGTACAGTGATATCAAACAATATGGAACCCTTTTTATTATTTAGTATACCGAAATAAAATATAATATACTGAGACAATAGATATACACCCTCAGAACACACGAGAAAAGCTTTAGTCATGTATCTATATGTATGTATATACTGACACATAACAGGTATAGATTATAACCTAAGTACCATAACTCATACCTCATATTAAGGGAAATGTAGCTACCAAAATGAACCCACACTTTACCAGGAATCACTTGATTCGTAAGTATACCACTTTCATTGCACACCGGTAAGTATACCACGAGTATTGATAAGTCATGAGTACCACAAAGATTGAACATTTGTAAGCATATACAACTGTACCATTGTAAAGATTCGATAGTATACCGCAAAGATGAAACATTCGATTCGTTATTATAGATTAATTATTCATAAGTGTACCGCGAAGATAAAACATTCGTAAGAATCCCACACAGATTAATCATTAAATTTTATAGAACGAGGATTAACCACTTATTAGTGTACCGCGAAGAAATAGCATTCGTAAGTATACCACAAGAATAAAAATTCGTAAATGCATCACGAACATTAATCAGTCATAAGTGTACTACGAAAATATGATATTCCTAAGTTAGTTTACAGCGAAAATAAAACATTCGTAAATCTACCACAAAGACTAAACATTTGTTAGTATAGTATACCATTTAGATAAAAGCATCCCTCTGTCCATGCTATGTATAAGAAAATGTATTGTATCTGTATATATTGCTTCTGCTGCACTGTTAGTGTACCTTACTTATATATAAACAATATATTGAGCTGTATTCGCAATCAAAGGTGGCCAGTGCCGTGTGTTAAGTCTCCTGACGTGTATCTCAAGGTATGATTATCTCCATTCATACGAAAAACATACAGAGATAAAATATTAGCTGGTGTGAGAAAGGAACCGTTAATATCCAAACGTCTGTAATTCCAACTCAAACACGTGGGAAGCAGAGACACAAAGAGCAAAGAAAAAGAAGGCGTTTCCTCTTATCTCCTGTCTGATAAAATTGATCATTTTTCATTTCTTGCCGACATTAACAAAAGAATCATATTCCACCCTCCTCTACCAGACTTTACAACGGCTGGTTTTCTTGTTTCTGTATTTTATTTTTGCATATCGAATAACACGAGCTTTAACATAATGTAAAACCACCACTATTTTTTAAACAGTTTGTTTAATATATGTTTGTAATCAGTAGGTATCACTGCCGCCTTTGATATATGATACAACTATCTGCCGTTCCGCTATTATCAAAAATGAATAATTTAGGACATTGACCTTTGAAGTTTTTGAGCAGGAAATATAACTGGAAAATATTGTTAAGTCCATGTTTTTGTGTTGTTTCCTATAGCTATCACGTCATTGATCTCGCCACTTTCCACCCCCTAGTGTATCCGAGTACCTTTTTCATGAGATACTGGTTGTCTATATCTCTTGGGAAACTTACGTGTATACGTTACATAATAAATGGATCTTGATAGTGTAAGTATTTTTTAATCTTTCTTCTTCTCTTTTCAGAAAATATTCGTTCAGGCGCCACTCCGATACCCTCTCCGCCCAAAGACCCACGCTCCAAAACCCCCGACCCCAGGCAGGACTACCACTGGATTTGTTGGCCAGAACCCGAGACTAAAACCACCTCCAAGGGAAAAGTTCCACACCCTCCACCTCGTCCTAACACATCCTTGGGAATCAGCTGGCCCAATCCCAGACCAGGAAATACCGGAGACGATATAGAAGACCGACCAAGTTCTACTGAACCAGGTTATGCGTTCGGAGACCAAGAGGTAGGGATACCATAGGATCCCATACAATTCCATTGTAAACAATGTTCATCAATCATACGCTTGTGAATTAAAAGTTACTAGCCTTAGAAGCTAGATAAAACGAATACTAAAATATAAATGTACATGACAAAATATACCACAACGTAAAAACACACGATAACATATTCCACAGCGTCGATACATGTGGTCAAGATACCACAGCATCGACGCACTGGAGAAGTTTAAAGCCTACACAAAAAGGAATAGGAACTTACAAGACACAACAAAAGAAAAAGATAGCATGTGCCTCCACCTAAACTAGAGGCGATTTCAGGTTCTTACTCCCATCTTGGTAATTACCTGAATCGAATACAAGAAGAAAAACGTAAAACCTGCAACGTTACTCTATAATGGTTATTGGTTATTTACCTCCCATATCGATATGTACACTATAAAACTCCATACTAGGTGTAAATTCAACCATACATTCCTCAGATTGTATTTAGCTTAAGTCAGTGCTTGATACGAACAGTGTACCATGTCATTTCTTTTCATTGGACGATTTTAAAATGTACATGTAATATTTAATTATGATGAATTTGTACGTGAAATGGTTTCGTTGTTGTGATTTGTAAAGATTCCTACCAGAATAGAACGGTGTTAAGTTGTCGTGAGATACAGCAAAAGAAATATCTCGTTTGTTATTACACATGTTTTATGTTTGCCAATAATACATTGTATGACAGTACCTAAGCATTATTAAAACTGGTTTAAGTATCCCTACTAACATCGAAATGCACGTATACCTTTATAAGCTTTTGATGCCAGTATGATTATGATTGTGTACACAAGTTTACGTTATACCGGAATACACAGAAAAGCATGTGTCTTAACACTGTCATCATACAGTGTAGATTTCTGCTTCTGTACTTGTCGTGTAAAGCGACCTTTGCAATGCATTTGTAAAGAAATGAAACAGATGTGTCACAAACACGATTGAATACATAATTATAATGAAATCATACTAGAAGTAAACAAGGGACGTAATACGGTGATCAAGTTAGTTCAATATTGTTCCACGCACAACTTAAGACAGGGTTATTTATAGTTACTCACTGTGACGGTCGTCTCGCCTCTAGACGCGATCAGTGTTGAGTGAGGAAAAAGCTCCATCATACTTGTTCCTATAGGGATAACTTTATCCGTGTTATACTGATGATCCAGCACAAACGTCGCCATAGTTTAACTCCAAATACAGTTCCTAATAAATCCACCAGAAAGTCGCGAAATTGGAATAAAATTATATCACACTTGTATCTTAATATGGTAATATGAGATTGTCCCGTAGCAGTTTCATGTTTAGTATTTGATATTGACGACTTGTCATAACATATTAAGTATAGCAGTGTTCCCACATGATGATTTAAATAAAGCCTACATTATATGTTATTGGTGTATGATGGTCCAGGTATTACGATACCTAAACAATCCCGTGTTAATATTGTCATGCTAGGTTACACAAATCAGTATACGGAACTGTAAATACAAAGATACGTTTATTCAATTATAGATACCTATTCTATGGGGGTAATCCGATAGTTTGCTTATCTTGGTTCAGTAATTGTGTTTAAATCCGTACGGGCTACATATTTTACCGTTCAATGTTAAGTCTTATGTCGCTCGATGTCTGATTTTAAAGTATCATTTTACTTTGTGTTTTACAAATGTAGAGACAACCACCCATTGTCCTCCGATATATACAAGGTATAAACATGAATAAGTTTAATAATAATGACAAGCGTATTCTAGAACGCTTTTTCTAGTATAGGTATCATCGAACATGAACGAATCAATTAGTAAGTGAATATATTGACTGTCAATGATTATTTTATAACCGGTGCTGGTTTTAAATTATGGATATATGGACGGCCTGGCGTACGAGTAAAGCATTGCATATCAGTTAGCATGCATGTCTTACGTAATCTTAGCCAAAGCTCAAGATTGTATGTCTGGAATCCCGTTTGTCCAGTGTCATTAATTATAACTGGCGGTCGACATTTAGTCTATATATCATTAATTTGTATACCAACGGAAACAATGTTATCGGTATGATTTAGTGTCGTAACATTTGATCCCTGATCCCTGTTATCTTTAGACTTGTAGATCGTCTAAATATGCTGTGTGTGTTACGTCAGTGCTACTTAAACATCCAGTTTATGTTATCTTAGACTACACCTATTTCACAGTTTATTTAATTATTTTTACAATATTTTAAATGATTAATTCTAAGTTGCAATGACTCGCAGTATACGTTACAGAGGTCTTTTAAAATGCGTATATATATGGTGAAAAATTACATTTTTGAGATAATGCAACAACTATGTAATTTGCATTGCGTTCGTACAAAGTTAATATCATACCTGAATCAGTCTATCCTCTGCCATGCTTAGCTTACATTTACATCAAATTGTATTCGCGTTAGATTCACTGTTAACATTTAATTATTATATTGTTAAGTAATCACATTGTTTAAAATCGAAACGCCTGAATAGATATCGAATATTTTCACGTATTTCGACATTATGAGAATATTTTGTTTTACTAATTTCATGCTTTCTTCTTCATGACCACTTTATGTGCAAATAATACTCTGTCCTTGATGCCTCCACTACCGACTAATATAATGTCGGTTTAAATAAACTTCATGGTTAATTCGCATTACTAAAATGTAATCTATCCCTTGAAGATTAAGAATTTGGTTTGCTCTGCACATTATATTTCAACATAATAGATTGTCCCCAAAGGTGGGTGTATAATGTATATTTCGATACTTTCGTATTTCATACCGTACGCTAACAATAGACTGACCCAAGGTTGTCCTTGTATTATTACAATGTCACACAGGGTCGAGTTGCACGGATTGGTTTCTGATATATTACTGACGTTTGTAGTGCACACAAAGGTAACATACATTCTCTCTATCGGAAAGCTTTCGGTCTACGCTGAAGAAAGTTCTACAATGCTCAGGAAAAGGCAATATACCTAGTGACAATAATGGAGAATAAAATTAATTTCAAATTTTATTCAGCTTTATATCTTATTCCAGACATGTGTGCTTCAGTAAAATATCTGTAATAATAGGACAGATCTACAATGCAAAACTGATCAGTTTGAATACGAATTAACGAGTTCAACGATATAGGATATAAGAGCTACATTTATTACATAAATAAAATAAAATATAACTGGGTTACGGTTTACATTGCGAAGTGATGCCGAGGTTTGTTATAAACCTAGTCGGGGTATAGACTGGTGCCAAGTGTGTTAACAAAGGACGGAAACACTAACTACATACAAACAACCAAAGCGTGGAATATTGGGACACAACACAACGCTCGTTGAATAGGAGGGTTGTACTCTAATGTAACCTGACTGACATGTTTTGTCTTACGGAGGGGTGTAAGCCACCTATAGTAGACTATGTATTACATATTAATTGTTCGGGATTTTTTGCCCATTGGATACCCACTATAAATCAGCCATGCATATTGTACACGTGTTTTGGCGATGACAGGGGTATGTCTAGGTGTACAATTGTCTAGTACCGCTCACACATACTAATGTATAGCAGCTTCATTGGCCTATAATATAGTTAATTAGAATATAGAATAGTATTGTATTTTCACACTATTTGTGAGTTTTGTTCATAATCATTCTGACGGCGGTTATTTAGAATCCAGTAAACTGATAATTTGACTTTAGTTGCCGTTTGTAGTTAATAACAAAATAGTGATACAAGTTTTACCAATAAACATAATTAATGTTGATTAAGCTTAAGTCCATATTACTGAACAAGTCTACATTAAAATGTATTAATTCATTAACAAATCTCCTGTTGGAACCTAGTCAGAAATGTATCTACCAATACGACTGACCATTCACAGACGTTTAAACATACGCCGAGGTGTTAAGATCATACAAGTGCCAAATAACATAGCATTTGACCTGCATTCAAGATTGGTATCGGTTAAAAGTGTCGTAAGCGTTTCGTTGTGTGGGATAAGATTTGTTTATAGTCCAACACATTTGCAATATTCGTGTGAAAATGCAAACAGCAACCATAAGGTAAAGGAATATCATGTATTTAATTTTTGTGTGTCCGCTCATAAACTGTAATCCCCCAGCACCTATGATGAGATAAGTGTGTATTTAGTGGTGACAAATCATGGACTATGGTGTTTAAATAATCGTTTAGCCCTGGTGAGTAAGTATATATTGTGTTGTAAAATCGGACGTGGGTCTAATAGCTGTGATTTGATGCTAGCAATTACGGCGGTTTGTTAGTGACTGCCTGGGGGACATTGTTCGGGGTAGAGTGGTAGCACTTCCGCAGCATATCATTATGACGACAGCAGATTGTGGTGTAGGAACGCACAGTGGGTAGGGGATGTTCTTCCCACAGTGACTGATATGGATTTATTTAGCACAGACCCTGGGATTATACATGTTTATCTGTAACGACAGTCAAGTATTGAAGGGTATGTGAAAGGACTAGACAATTATAACTCATCATCGACATGTGTTTGAAATCTCCAGCTCAGGTAAGGGGTTTTCCACAGGAGGAGGATTTCTAATACCGCCAAAATAAATGATAGAATGACTTTGGAGCGGTAAACGTTTGTGTGGGCATTAATGATGTCTTCCCTTTTGTGTTGGTGTCACCTCGGTTACTGATATTGTATGTGTTGTCGTTAATACGTAAAATTCGTATTGGTATGTTAGTACTGCAGTGTATTTCTTCTGTGTGTTGACGAGTTGGTGCTTGCTCTTCTTATTTTACTCTACACAAATATCGTTTAACCTACTCTTAGGAAGTAAGAGAATCTCTTCGATAAACTAAGATAAGCACTACATGTTCAACACATGTTCATGTATTAAAGAGACAGTGCTGTCACCTTAAAACAGACGACTAAACAATGACATCGACGTGTGCGGTGTTGTGGTATCGTTGTGACAGGAGCATTACATTGTGCTGTTGTAGTTATCATTTTTATATTAAAACTGGTTTTAATCTTCTCATGTTTTCTCTTGTAGGACTTAAATCGTGGACCTCCTATGACCTTTGTTCCTGAACTACAATCGTGGATTAACGCTGCTAGTGATTACGGTAAGTGTCTCTATTTAAGGTGACAACATTCTTGGTCGTGCTTTTCGCCGTAGTTCACTAATGCGGATTTACGCTGTTAATGATTACGGTTAGTGCCTTAAGTGACAATAGTATTAACTATGATTTTTTTTCATACCTACAATCGAGGATTTACAATGCTAGTTATTATCGTTAGTGTCTATTTTATGTGACAATATGTTAGTTACACATTTGTTTCTGAACTCCAGTCGTAGGTTAGCTTTTCTTGTGACAATAGTTTAGGTAACAATATTTGTTATTTTGAACTTTGAGAACTTCAATTGTGGATAAACGCTGCTAATGATTACGGTAAGTTTACTTCAGTTTAGGTGACAACTTTGTTTGTTTTTACCTTCGTTTCTTAACTACAATCGTGGCGGGCTAGTGATAACGGTAAATGTGTTTAGTTAAGATATCAATGTTATTAACTTTAGTGTTTATTTTCATTTGATTCAATAAACATAACGTTAAGCAAAATTGATAAAAAAAATAATCTAAAAGATCCTAGAACCATATGTAAAACTATTTCTTATTGCACCTTAGTCAGCAAAGTTATTTGATTTAACAGCATGGGACGTCAAATGATGATAAAGCCCGTAAACGGTTTGTATAGATAATGAGCAGAAAAGAAGAGGGAGGTAAAACGAATATATTTTGGTATTGAAGTTTATAAAACTGTGTGTGCTCATAGGCTCTGTCTAAATGTAGTTGTAATTACAATGAGATATAGAAAATAACAAAATCAATGAAATGGTAATAGCGCTTAAAATAGTCTATTCATAATCTACGGAATATTAGCCCGAACATACATCGTAGACATTAAAATTTTCAGGAAAAAGTTTTGTCATAAAACAGTTCATACATCTCAAATATGTTTTGCCTCGTACCCACATAGACATGAGATGTGGTGCTAGTTTGTAATACTGTGATGATGAGGCTGTATTGAAAACTATTTTGAAATAAATGTAATACTGTATATCTCTTTGAGAAGAGCTTTCTATGTATTTCTATACACATCGTCAGAGTAAATATTGTCCTGCTTTGGTTTTCTTTTTAACGATTCTGACTAGTTCGTGTACAATATTGATTATCGTTGATTGTTTTATTATTATGATTTTATAGATAAAGCCTTTATATATCGAATGATGGCATTGAACGGCTCTCTTCCGATGATCCCTCCCCAGCACATGCGCCCAAGACGGGAAACCACCTATACCTTCGGCCAAAATAAGCTACCGATGTCCACGCAAACATACCTCCCCAACCCCTACGCACAGAGATGGGTACCGGGCGGCGGAAATATGTCCCCAAGGTAGGATTGCTGATTCAAAACAGCTCTTTGACGACAAACCATCTGGTTAATACAAGTGTACCTGTTAAATTAAATACAGATAAATCCTGTGAACTGCCCATTATTTATGTCATTCTGTGGTAAGCAAATCATAAAATTCTAATATGCGCATGCATTCAAGAGAATTGCTATCGTCTAGCTAAATACCTACGATCAAGTGTATTATTAATATTATTTTAGATATAAATATAAATTCGAATGCATTATACAAACATAAAAGGTCCCCTGTGAACACAACTTCAAATACATTGCCCTTATTCACAATTTTAATGGCTGTTTATACGTTAATTAAGGGATCTGCCATCGTTGCCCCAAATGCACCGTAGTTACTCGGATCTAGACGACCTTAACAACGCCAGACGGTACCTGCGTCCCCAAGTAGCCAAGTCCCAAGATTACGTCCACGAGCACAGCATGTTTATGGTACGTGTAAATGTTGTTTCGTATGACAATAGTTATATGATTTTGTCCATGAGTTTTATTATGTTTCATCCATAAGATTTTTAGTACTACATGTATAATGTTCCGTTCATAAATTGTTTAATATTATTATGTTTCGTCCATATGATTGTTAGTCCAACATCTATAATATTCCGTCCAGATAGTTTTTAAGTTATAACGTTCCGTCCATAGGATTACACAAGTATGCTAGGAGTTTTTTCTCTTGTTTTATCACAAAATCTAATTCAGCGTGTCTGTGATCAGGGAATGAAATTATTCAATCAATAAGAAAACAAAACCCAATATAAACAAGGATATAAGAAGTAACACAAGATGAGAAAATAAGAAGTTGAGGGATTAGATATACTCCATAAATATTCAAGGCCATAATGACGAAAGTATGATTCAAGATAAGCACTGGATCCGACCAATGGATACGTGTTACTTTATTAGAGCATTTAATGACATTGTGAACACTTTTTGTCTAATTGTATATTTCTCAACCGAAGTTATAATTCATAAAAGTTAAACGTAGAAGGTAACACACATTAGCATATAGTAATAGTTGTCACATGTTAAGGCATGTACAAATAAGTTATACTGTAACTATCTCTGAAACAGATACACTGCTTAGTAAGTACATTACGTAACTCTCAGAAACATGCTGTGCACTAACCGGACGTTCCGTAGACATGTAACATAACGAGTTTGTGAGCTGGTTTTGAGATGGTGTAATGGACAGAGTTGTAGCCAGTAACTGTGGATAACTTCTGTTGATATTGTGAACGAAATCCCCTAATATGTTTTGATATTTTGGTAGCGAAGAATGCATGTATTTGTTTGATTTGGTTTGAATGAATATATATAATTGTTAATGAGTAGCTAATCAATGTAAATCATTTTAATAATGACAATGTATTCGTATCGTATAAGACTAAAATAATGGAAATCTCGTATTTCACTAAATAATTCAGCATGTATCCGTTGTATTGTTTGTATTGAGATTAATACTTGTAACAGTGACTAGCCACTATGATGATGTATGCTACATAAAGCAAGACAAGTCGATAACAGTCTATTTGGTTAATACCGTCCGGCGTACCATTTCTAACACAAAACGTATAACACTTGTGATGATATCTACCAACGACACAGTCCATGTTACTGTTGTAGTGAGTTGTATGTATACTCCAATGTAATACCTTTATTGTCGTCCATTGTCCTAACAAATGTGTGTGGATAGACAGTCTCGGGAACTCTCGTCACGAAAGAAACCTTTTAGGTCAACAAAGATGTTTAGGTATTTTGTTTCTCTTAAACGATAAATATAAGTTACATCTAAACGTCATCAATATAACATTCGGTTGTGACGCTCAGGACATTTAAGATTATTAGAAAGTTCGTTATAAACATTTTAAGAAATGCATTACAGGCATTGTATGAACACAAATCTCAGGTATGATTTTTAAAAGGCGAGAGATAAACAAAGTGTCAAACTAAGGTACATAAGTCACGGAATCGATAGAACTCACTGTCTGTTGCATGACGAAGCCATGCTACATTGATTTGTTTTCTTACTTTTTGACAGTAAGTACTAGTGCTCCTTTCTGATTGGAAAATAAGAAAATCTTAATTATATTTTCACTACAACATCTTTATTGCACAGGTCAAATTGTAATGAAATGTTACTTTTACTATAACATCTCTGTTTCAAGGGTTAAATTGTAATACGATGTTTTGATTTCATTGTAGACAACCCAGCCCATGTGTCGTGGTCACTTTATCATCCACCCCGACTGGGTGTCAGAACGCCTGCCCAAGAGGAAGGTCACTCCTTTTAAGAAATCCAGACCAAGCATGAGATACGGATCAATGAAATAGAAAAATCAATGACAGTTATATAGATTATTTCATACATTATTTATGTAATTTATTTATTGGTTTTAAACAAACCGCTCAAGATGTTTCTATACTGGAGTTTGCTCAAAAGGAAATTAAATATAATTTGCACCAAATATTACCGTTATCGGTGTGGCTAGGCGTGTATGTTATAAGAATAGCAAATAAATATCATTTTTAAAGTTACTTTGTCATACATTATTGTAATGGACGTTAATAGTTAACAAATGTGGTATAAGTAATGACAAAGGCACCACTTACATAGCTTTCTATGTACGTATAGTACCTATAGTGGACAAATTCCTTTCCTGGAATAGGATTATATATCAAAACACCGTAGAAACCGTTCTTCTTTTCAACATATAATACCAATTAGCCGCCATGAGTCAGCCATCCCAACTATGGAGCAGAAATCAAAGACTATATTACTTTATATTATGCAGGGCTGACAATTATGTTGTTAATGTTACATTTCAACGTACGTAAGAATATGTTGTCCTTAAAAGTTCAGCTATTCTTCACAAGTAGGTAATTATTAAGAATAAAGGAAATGTTACGGCACAGTTAATCTGGCCTAGTTATGTAGATATTGCGTTTTTCGAACTAGTTTAGATATTTATATAGATTAAGTCATATGGACTATAAACATGTTCCGTCCACCTAGCATAGCGTTGTAATGGCTATCTAGGAACGTATCCTCAATGTATCTGTGATAGTCTTTATATCCTTAATGTTCAAAAGCAAATAGGCATGAAAATAATGTTGAAACAGCAACCAGTTAACGTATTGGACATTGATGATTTGACCAATCACATCTCTGTATTTACACCATACTACATCGTAGCTAGTAAATGGTAGATATCATAATAATGGACTGAGTTAAATCTTATCATTTGTAACAAATTTAGCTTATAGATAGAAATACGATTCAAGATCATTTTACGTGTATTTATTTATTGTGTCCATATACCAAATACATCACGATTTATATAGTTGTTTGCTTGTCGCATTAATGTAAATATTTTTTAAGATTTTTTGTATATATTATTTTTTCTTATACCTGTATAAATAGAATTATGGAAAACTTACGATTTGTATAGTTCCAATTTTGTTGGACTATGTTTATTTAATATAACATTATCTCAAAGTATGTCATTTCCTCTACTTAGTCATCTTTTGATAAAGTCATTAAAAATAATGTCTTGACTTTATTTTCCTTGTGATCTTACATTCTTTGAGATATTGACTTAAGTTGTTTGTATATATCTGTAAATTATGTTCTTAAGATAGTTCAAAGTCTGTTTTAAGTTGAAAAGCATGAAGGATGAAGCTTCATGGGTCGTTTGCTAATTACGGCAAAGCCACAGAACACTTTACCAGTGTCAGTATTAAGTTGTACAGCAGAGTGCGTTTTTCTGGGTGTGGTTTGGTTATACCTTCTTATTATACTGTTAGTTGTTTCTGTCGCCTCTCGTGACAACATTAGTATGCACGTGTGTACATATCGTAGTTTGGTTATTGGCATTTACACGCAAAACTCGTACAGACTCTCCATATTTTGTTTTAAATAACGTTAAAGCTAAGACTATGTTTTATTGCCTATATTCTAGTTCATTAAACTCAATATGAAACATCCAATAGTGTTTGGTTTATTTATACCTATCACAGACAATTATTCATCGATGCACTTTTGTTGAGGTGAATGTGGTTATAATATTCATGAGAAAATCATATTGACCGAGACGAATGAGGATGTAAGGAAAATGTGTGTCATCAAATATTTATACATACCGAACCCTATCACAGGGAAAACATATGTATTGAAGCCTACAAAGAAGAAAGAAATATTTTTACCGAAACCTTTCACAGAGAAATACGAAAATCTTTTATTCGTGACATTTTATAAAATGTATCTTAATTAGATTTACATGCGTTGATTAAAGGGAGATAACAGACATTATTTGAAAATTAAACGTTGAATTTTGCAAAGGACCCCGATACAATTCGGCATGATACCTGTAGAAATGTGTGTCTGGACACTAAAGTCCTTGGTTAAAATGATGTAGAAAAGGTGCTAGATTTAAAAGAGATAAAACATATTTAGACTGTATTGATATGACACAAGACATATGTTATTTAAGTAAGTCGGTATAGTTATGCTAAATAAGTGTTGATGATGATTTTTATCATAAATCATTACACTATATCAACCTGCTGTTTAATTACTATCAAGCAATAAGCCACGAAATATCTTTTTTAAGCTATTACTTATTTATTGAATATATGATTTTCATGCCATAGCATGTTTTTCTTCTTTATATCAATATATGTATACAGAATATTAATATTTTGTTCTGGAAAGGATGAAAATACTTAAAACAATACTGTTAATTAATCTGTAATGCGGAGAAACATGCTGAAGAACAGACTGGCAAAGTAAGAGAGAAAAGCATTTAACATTCACTTCAGTATAGTTGGAAAACTAGTGTTGATCACACACTACACTATACAATGGATAAGATAGTCTGGGACATAGAAAATACTCTGAGACATGTTACAAAAATCCAGGACTTTCTAAACAGTCTAGAACAGACCTCAAATGAATTCAAAGAAAACAGCAGCGTTTATATTACCCAAATAACTCATTCACTGTACATACTTAAATAATGTGTCATTTGAAGGCATCTGACAATTAAGTATCTTAGGAAAATTAATCACTAGAAATACAAAGGAAACACCAATAAAACACTTCAGTAAATAGATGCAAGGAGTCAAAGTTAATATTTTACTGAACCATATGGCCACTTCATCCATGAATGACTCATCTGTGATACTCGAGATCAAAAGAATAAAACTCTGTATCTGAAGTGTTTCAAAACTAGAGTAAGGGAGGTAATGTGGTAGGAATAAAGTCAGCTACGTAACTACAAAGTTCGATCTACGTTTATATATATGCATAGGGAAACAAAAATCACTGTCAATAAAAAGTACATACAAAGTATAAACTGAAACTTTCCAGCCAGCAAAAATCTTATAATCAGAATTTTCCCAAAAAATCAGGAGATTTTCTTCAAATGCGATCATGAAAGAGACTATCCTTATTTCAAATATACTTCTGGTAAGTTTTTAATTAGATATTGGTACAATAACAGTCGCCATTGGATCTGATTGTACTCTGGTAATGATACATCATTCCTTTAATCATTACCTTTCAGCAGGGCTGTCTTAGATAACTGTACTGCTTTATCTTACACTATGTGAGGTTTAGTCAGTATATGCCTGTTTATAAACTTGTAATGACTGTAATTCAAAATACCTTTTTTGGGCATTACGTACAGACTTTTGAAGATAGGAAATTTAAAAGATTGTTGGAATGGAATATTCCTGCTAACTCCACTCCTCAAGTTGATTTGATATACTACCTTGATCAAGTTCTCACCAAGTTTATTTTAATTGTGATGGAAAGTTTGAAATCAATAATCATTTCATCTCTCCTTCAACCAAGTTTTGACAATTTCCGTTTCCAGTCATTATATATTTACAGTTCTGCTTAAGATTAATAAGTGCATACTAAGAAACACATCAAAATGTGTTTTAAAAAGTGGAAGAAAAATCTTCTAGTATCTGTACAATGCATGAAATGATAACTCGTGAAATCTGCTTGTCCAGATTGTTCAAAACTGAACAAAAGAAATATACTTTAACAATCAAAAACATAACAGAGTATGAAGATAAACAATATTTATTCTATTAATTTCTGACAACCCTTCATATCATGAAGGTTTGGGGGGAAATATTAGGCAACGTATGATTTAAGACAACAGTTAATGTTAGAAGGAAATATCTGTACATACTGTCTAGTATATGGACCCTTATGCTATCTAATATACTAACAGTTTGAACAGTAAGCAGTCATGAAAGTGATAGCATAAATGAGGTCTTTGTACCGATTATAATAATGAAACAAATGAAAACTTATATTGTTACACAATGTAGAGTAACTACAGAATGATAGATCATGGTACTGACATACTAACAACATAACTCTCACTCCATCTCTCAGCTCATATACACACACGAAAAGCGTAAATAACATAGACTATGACAACAAAATTACTCACCGATACATTATGAAACGTTTGTTGTGTCAAGAGCACTCCCTATTTTTTATAAGGTGGATGTTCTCATTTCATGAAATTTCCAAACTTTTTGAATATTTTATCAAGTTTACGACTTGGTGTGTTAACTATTAACATTATCAGAGATATAAAACAATCAGCACTCTCACATTTTGTTGATTTGAACAGTTTAGAATCAAGGTACTACATGAACTCTCTCAGTGATCAAACAATTTGCCTTTACATTATAAATAAAAACATCATTTAATTTTAATATCAATTATACAAAGCATGGCGGATTCTTTCTTACCACAGCAACATATCAATTTAACAGACTTTTATCACATAAGCAACATAAAACATACCACTAAAATATGAAGACAATGAAACAAAATTATTATCACATAAGCAACATTAAAATTTTAAACGTAATTATTTTCGAATCAGAGTCTGATTACTTTCCAAAGGTGTAATTTTTCAAGTAACTGTCCAATTAAAAGTTGTAAAAATTACTTGGCCATCTTAGAAAACAATTATGTTGTATATTATAACCAAACTGAGACATTTCAAAGTTTCTGCAAAACTCGGTTTTGTTTGAACTTGTGTTGTCTCTCTTCTAGTTGGCTTTCCAAGGTATCAGGAAGTTTTTCATCTGTGAAAAAATCTGAAAATCCAAAGAAATCAATATGAAAGGTACATTATAATATAACAACCCTATTTTATACAGAATCATAATCACACAATTCATTCTCTTTTAAACAAGAAGTGAGTACCCATATTTTTCAAAAAGTTTCAGATTGCTGTCAAAATGTGATGAGTAAGAGAACGTGTGGTTTGGTTTAATGCATTTACTTAAGATATTGATACTATTCAACAAGAAGATTCTGTTTCAAAATGGTTAAGTTTTAGGAGGAGGATCTATGAGCTGGTAGGCAAAGAGGAGATGGGACAACCTTTTTCTCGGTTCAGTAACTGTTATAAATATACATTATTTCTACCCGATATGTTTATCAACGAGTTGTGGGAATCTGGTTTTTTTTCTAAAGCATATCAGATAATAAAATATGTACATGCAGCTATAGCTTCCCCAAAACAGAAATTAAAGGATCCCCATACCACTGCCAAAAAATGTAGCTACATATAAAATGTACATATTGGAAATTATTATTTTTTTTCGGCTAGACTATAGCTTTGATAAATCATTTCTGAAAAGAAAACCATACCTTTCCCAACTTTTATGCAAAGATAATAAATATGAAATAATCAAAATATAATCAACAACAGTGTTCGAAGTGTAACAAGCCATTCAGATTGATATGCCTCGTCTATGCCCCGCTTTGACCAACAATCGCAAAAACTTAATGTTAATGGAGATGCTGACAAATCAATGGACCACGAAAGGTAGGCCGCATCCAGGATTTGATGCATAGGTTGAGATGTACTAACCAAGTTGCATTTATGGTCCAAGTTTGGTTGGTCTAGCACTTTATACTTTCAGTGAATCTAACTTAAAAACAAAAACTTAATGTTGACGCCGTTGTTGGAAAAGCAACACCTTAGTCTGGCTTCCGCAGCGTGACAAAAATGGACTTTACATTGTTATACTATTGCTCCTATCAACTGTGCTTCCTTGACAACAGAATTGCCCTGGCCCAGTTGTGCTTCAGTTATATCCAAAACAAAATTACAAGGAGAATACTGTATACGAAACAAGAGGCCCAGAGGGCCTGTGTCGCTCACCTGTTTCTTTTGTTACATGAAACTGACATATAGGTAACTTAAGGCAATATTTGGTAACTAGAACAGAAGACATTTTAACATCTCTTAAACGGTTTTGAAGATATTGTTGTTTGAAACTTAAAATTTTAATTTTGAAGCTTTTAACATACATTGACTTTTGACTCCCGACAGTACGGCATAAGCTCACATGGTCCTTTGGGCCAGGTGAGCTAAAAAACCACAGTGCAGTGGGACAGGGATCCTTAAATCTCATTTCCATAAGAGAAGATAAGCAAACTTTTCATTTAAAGCATTGACAGATTTCAGGTTTGTGTACAGCTACACTAGTAGAAAATATCTCACCTGCAGCGAAGTCTTTAATATTTTCTGGTCGGTTTCTTAAAACATCACTGTAAATAGAATAACAAGCATACAACTGATAAAAGAAACAGAGATGGTATATACACTGTTACTACACATCATTTACACTAGACTTTAATGGTAGGGTTAAACAAAACAATATAAACTGTACGAATTACAAAGATATTATGGTCTCTGTATTTGATCATCATTAAAACACATTGATCTAAACATATTTACTTTAATGTATTGATTCAAGCTGATGATTGCATGAATCTTGTACATAGACACACATCATTCATTAGAGCACTAGGTCATATGCTTGCTAAAAATTTGATTTAAACATACTTTTTATCAAACAATTACATACTTTTTTATCAGGCAATTAAAAATTATTTGTAAGCTTGAAAATGAAAAATACAGCCTTTGAAAAGATGCTACAAACTCTATTTTTAGCACACCTTTTGTATATATTAGTAAGTATATAATACAATCACAAACTGTGAAAGTGTTATTGTTCTACCTCAGAAAGCCTGCAATCAGGCACTCAACTTCTGGGTGGTCACGTAGGTATCTTTCATTTTCAAGTCTTGTTTTTGTCTGCAATGAAAAAGATATAGGAGTCAAATATAATTTCATATATGAAAGCAGGTAAAAATATACATTTTTGGTGCCTTGGCCTTTGGGACAAATACTGAGCGACCATAGTGTAGCATGTGAGAATGTGAGCATGAACAGAATAAATGAAGGTATGCAGGGTCGGTTCCCTCTTGGGTTGGATAGTCAGTTGGCATCCGTCACTGATAATAAGCGAATTTAATGAAAAGATTTGGTGTCCAGCAGCTTTGCTAAATTTTCTTGTTTTATCATGATTTCATATCGGCTCCCACCAGAGTATTAATTGTTAGATTTCAGTGCTGTGCAGGGTTTTGAATTCAGCATATTGGCATATGGAAAAGATTTCAAGGTCAGATAACCAAGTCACAGTAACAGTTAGGGTGTCAGTGTATTATTATGTGCTTGCATTGATAACAGTTTGGATTTTTTTGGAAATCCTGCAGTGTGTAAATAATGATAGTGTTAGGCTCTAGGTATAGTGTTAGGCTCTAGGTAAAGTGTTAGGCTCTAGGTATTATACAGATATTTTGGCGGTCTTAATAGTACAGAAAATACAAAGAGGGATATTGATAGTTCAAAATTTCTGACACTGCGACACATACATGTATACATGTAGATTCACATTCATTTCTGTAAAGATGACAGGGGAGGTAAATCTATTTATTTTGTCTTTTAAATCTGCAGACGTCTCAATCTTGCCAGAATGTAGGCTTACCAACACATTAGGACCCATCATTTCTTCTGTTGTAGCTTAATGCTAACTGTTTTGGGTACTATGTTGGTGGGAAACATCAGTGACATTCTGTTGAAATAGCCTTTTCTGTCTCACCTTAGGGTGGAAAAAAGCCTTGTGCCGATTATCACGCGTTCAATTGTGACGTCATTAAAAATGCGTCACCGGTAATTTTGACGTCATCAAAAGTGAATGACGATATTCATACCCCACATGTGTTTTTGTTTACACTACTGTCGGTGGAGTTATGACTGAAATTATAGGATGGGAGAAAAACAATCATCCCCTATCTTGAGTGTGTGACAGAGAAATCTCCAACCCTCAGAGTGATTTTACCTTCGGCGGAGCCTCGGGTAAGACAACCAAAAACCATCACCCCTCGGGTTGGAGATTTCTCTATTACACCCTCAAGGTAGGAGAATATTCCATTAATCATTAGTTATGAAGTTGGATGAAAAGTGTTGAACTTTGTCCAGATTAGCCTTGGCAAGTGTGGTCTGGGACAGAATAGACACTTAGGGGTTTGTAAAAATAGTGCGAGGAGAACATCAGCACTGGTGTCCATTTATACTAGCAAATGCTTATAGTGCGAGTCTGCTTCAAAGTAACTTCATAATTATAAGCATCTTGTACATATATGTAGGAAATACTGGTCAAAATCTACCACACTTTGTCCTACTTAATGAGTCGAACCATTTGCCTGATTAGGAAATAGTGAATGCATGTATTTTACCAAGAAGACAGCCATTTTGGATATCAATTCTATTAATCGGAGACCTAAACAAACTGTCTCTATAGCCGGTATTTTAAAAGGCATTATGTTTTTTTCTAAACAGCAGGGCATTAATACATAATTATGAAAACTTTATTTGCATGATTATGTGACAGGTGTAATTATTACCTGCTTGATCTTCTATATTTTCAATGTGCCACCACAAGATCAACAGGACCAAATAGCTTCTGCTTCTGACTTGACAATTTTTCTATAATATTGCGTTCCGAGGCAGAGGATGCCGAGCATTTATATTAGTACTTACACAGAGTCAGCTTTGGTGCAAAATAACTGAATGTCTATCTGTAAGAATATTACATAAAGGTATATTTCACTTTAAAATTTGTCAAATAAGTAAATGGCGGAAATTTTGTATTTTTTTTTGGGCGAAAAAGTTGGGGCGTTATGTTTTTTGGGGGCGCTATGAATCAAATTAGGGTCGTAACGGTTTCGAGGCGAATCATCTGACACCCATTTGACTTAATAACCGAACCTTCTGTTATGCTCCAGTAGTAGGGCCTGTTCATTATCACCTACATGCATTATCTAACTCTATTAATAAATTACGGAGAATGATACAATTACTGAAACGAATCGACTTGTATTTGTTGTAAAAGACCATGATACATGCAATTTATGAAATATTCCGTCGTATTTGAGGGTTCCGGGTTGTTTCGCCCCAAATCCTGTTCGCCCTAGGTTG